AGGGTGCGGGCGCTGCTTGTGCCGGGCGGGGGGCGCTTGGTCAGCGCGGGGTATTACCGCTCGGGGTGCCCCCCCTTGGGGTGAACGGTCTGAAGGGGCTGCTGAGAGCTCTGGGCAGAGAGAGGGAGGACAGGGAGGCGTTGCTCGTGCAAAGAAATCCCGGGCCGGTCGATTCCCTCTCTGGAAAGCTTCCTTGGAGATGCTTGTAGCTGCTCTGAATGTAAGCGTCACCAGAAGCCTTGCAGTCTCTCGGAAGCCTGCTCTTGCTGTTACTCCCGTCCAGTTGCTGGATGAAGTGGTGGGGCAGGGCCTGTGGTGCCAATAGGAGGTATATTCTCCTGTATCTTTTGCCAGGCAGACTTCTGAAATGAGGTGCCAGATATGTCCTGGCAGGGCTTGCTGTCTGCGTCAGGTGTTGGATCCACTAGCGTTCTGACAGTGGCGAAACCCCACGCTTGCTTGTCTCCATGTACTTGTGACGGGTTTTATCAAACATAGGGGATGTTTTTGTTGGGCGTAGCAGATGACAGGTAAAATGTGCTTCATTCGCTTAGTGAGATTCCCGCTTGTCCCTTCATGCGGAGTCGCTGGAGTTTTGGTGGACTTGTTAACCTTGCCTTCACCTCAGGTGGTTGAAAAAGACAGGGCTGTAAAAATCCCTAGGAGTTGTTTGAAACATTTGATATTCAGTATCAACCAAAAGATGAGAATTGCTGGAAAACTGTCTGTCTTGTCAAAATATTTTGCAGTGTGGGATGGAGATACTTCTCTTACCTGTGTCATCTGTGGATAAACTGTAATGAATGCAGTTGACAACTAAGCAGAAGTTCTGTTGAGAGTGTGCAAGCTGGGAGAAAGGTCAAGCTGGATCCAGCTTAAGGTAAAAAGTGTAACTTATAGTATGATACCACTAGTATTCTGCAACAGGTTAATGTTTTTGTGATGGTTTAGGCCTTGTTATGATTTAGCTGTTAGAGCTGTTGGATTTCAGTTTTGTCTGTGGCATGGACAAGTCATTTTATTTATTGTTCTGTGGCAGTGGTTTCCACATAGTAGAAGTTACTGCAGTAGTTTTAGAATATAAACTTTACAAAGCATTTAGGACTTCAGCATCAGGGTGAATTTTATTTTAGCACTGTTTTAAATTCTCCTTTACAGGTGTGAACAAAGGTGGCCCCTGGGCTGAGGCTTCATAAAGGAAGGTTTGGTCTGGAATTTTTTTTCATGGCACAGGTGAAGACCCCTGGAAGAGAACTTTTATCGTGGAAACAAAGTGTCTATAAGTATTAACTAAACCAACATAACATTTAAAAAAAAAAAGTTTCTGAGAATACAGAGATACTTTTTCTTTTTCCTTTGTTTTCTCAGAAGAAAGAATGTGTTGTGTGTTCTAATTATATAAAATTGTATCAAATGCTGCCCTCCAAACTAATTGCGGGAAGTTTATTCAACGTTCAAAAACAAAATTAAATGTTTAAACCTGTTGGTTTCCCCTCTGCCCATTCATGTGCACGTTGTTTGTATTGCGAGGGTTTGAGAAGTTCTTGAGAATTAAAAATGAATGGAAATGTTCCACAGGCCAAATATCTAAGCATCCTATCACAAAGGTAAATAAATTTTAAATAACATCTTTGCAGACTATAGCTTTTCTTAAACAAACAGCAACAAAAAAAGTCTGGTCACTGGACTGTCTAATACTTTTAGGATATGAAAAAAAGTAAATCAGCTTTAAAAATGGATATGGCTATGCCATTTAAACTAAGGATCCGGTTTTGTTCTCTTTGTAATAGAGGAAGAAATGGTTACGTTTTGATGAAGCAATACTGAGTCTTAGTTGGGGAATTTTTACTATGTGTTTCTATGAATAAAGCTGTCAACTATCTGTTATAGATGTCACTGATTAGAAATACTGCGTACTGACACAGTGTATGGAATCCTGTCTTGTCGGAGTCCTTAACAGAGTGGAGCAGCAAAAGTGGTCTGAGCCCTGCTTACGATGGTGGGAAACTGCTCTGTAGGATCCCTGGTCAGTCTTCTGTTGGAAGATCAAAATATTCTCCGTTCTTATGTATATGTTCTGATTTTTAAAGCTCGAGTACAAAGAAGTTAATATTGTGAGTAACCGCTGTAATCGCTACAGTTAATCTTTGACTTTTGTACATGGTTCACATATTTGTCCAATTTCTTCATTGCTCAAAGTAACCTGTTGTTAACTATATGAAAAGGAAATTCTAAATACAGGTTTGCATGTTGAAGCTGATCGTATATCGGAATCCTGGGCCAAAATCTAAGATACTAAAAGCACTCGCTATAGAAACTCTTCAGTTATTGCTGAGCCTGAGTTAGGTTTTCATGTGCTTCTATATGATTATCTTTCAGGTATTTTCTGATCTAGCCTTAAAAACTGTTCAGTGTAACTGCAGTTTAGCCAATTAGGTGATTTCATCCACAGTTTATATTTCGTTATGGATGGTTCTCCATGTTTGTTTGGTTTTTTTTTTTTTTTTTAATGTGAATACTGCAGCCTTACATTAACACAAGTTTCATATGAAGGGCTCCTATACGTTAAGCATATGCATCATGTGTGAAATCCTACTCTGTTCTATGTCTGTAAAATTGCTGGGTAGCTGAGCATTTGCTGAAATGAGCTGCAGATTGTTTTTTTTGTGGCTTACAATACTCCTTTGTAGATCTGCTGGTATCTTGTTTGTCCCTGCTGCATCTAGACAATGCGTTCCTTCATGTTTTGTGTAACATCTTCTTCAGTCATTTCTGTGTACATAGGTACGGTAACTGGAAACAGAAAATTCTGTTCTTAAATTGTCCCTCTTCCCGCCCTTAACTTCCCCCTGCCCCAGCATATCTGGAGTATTGGTCATTAAGGGGAATTTAGAACAGTATTGATTGCTAGTATCCAGGAATCCTGGGAAAAAGGGATGAAAATGAGCATTGGGAAACTATATAAATTTTCTGACAGCACAAATTTACACTTTGAGACCTTTAAAATCAATAGGGGAGTGCTATAGGCAGAATAAAAAAAAGAAAGAAGAAGAGCTCAAGACGTTGGATGAATAAGCTCTGGAGCTTACTACCGTTTTAAGAGGCTTGGATGTTGGTGCTGTGCCTTCCGTCTGTCGTTCAGTTGTTTAAATCTCTCCCGGTAGTGGTTAGCAAGGTGTAAACTGAGTGGTCAAGTCTAAACCCAGAAGGGTTCTTGTCTGCTGTTACTTGCTCATTTTTTAAATGTAATCAGCCCTTTGAGGGAGTTTGGCAAAACAGTATGTTTTTCAGTGCTTGCTTCTGGGACTGGTGTATAATTGCTCTGGCATATGAGTGATTCCCATTGGTTTCTGCATTAATTGCTTGCAAATACTCCACATTTGTGTCACAATATTCTGTTTTCTAGCAGTGTTTGAAGTAAGAGATTGATGCTCAACTGGGAAGCTCAAACAAGAAACGGAGAAAGGATGTTTAAAGCAATGTATAGAATGGGAAGCAGCTGTTTTAAGTTAGCAGATTAGGAGAAGAGGTGAATATTTCTGGTATGTCTCAAAACTGGCTTTTTTTTTCCAGAGTTGAGTGTAGGATGTAATTTCCCTTTTTATTTGCACAATACCAGGCGTACCAGTGGAGCCTAGAAATTCATAATTAACAAAACAAGGGAAGAAATTGTTTCACACATTTTTGCTGGTCTACGGGAGTAGACTGATCAATACATACACCCATAAACCTTCCGTAACTTGTACACCAGCTTTTAAAATAGTTTAAATAGTTTTCTGCAAGTCTTCTGCTGTATGCTCCCACCCCCCCTCCCAGTTTCTGTTTGTCAAATATGTTTGTTTATTTCTTACCGAAACTGGTTGTCATAGTTGGCACGCTTTTAGGACAGAGTTTAGATGAGGTTTGGAGGGGTTTTTTGGTTTTGTTTTGTTTTTTTAACCAGGAGATGGATATTGTCTCTTTTTGTGAAAAGGATGCTTAAGAGTATTCGTTAAGTTTATTCTCTGGTGTTCTTTAGATAACCAGGCAATTCCTCACATAAACTGGCAAATTTCTTTGTATTTCTTTTAATGAAAGATTTCTATTAATGGAGCATTAATAATTTTATTATGAAGGTAGGATGACATCGTTACAAATAAATGCTTTTTTATGGCTTTGATACTTCATTTTACTGTTCAGGATTTAACAAATGAAAAATAATTGTTCAGTTAGTTCCAGTGGCTTATAATACATATTACTTATTTTGTAACTGAATATTCAGCCATTCTTACTGCCATTGGGCTTCCTTTTACAAGCTGTCGGGTCCATGATCAACTTCAGAACTTTCGTAAAATCTCATGAATTAGACATTGTAAGCCAAAAACATTACAGATTAGCTTAATTGCTAGATAAACCTTCAGGATAATTTGGGGGAAAAATGTGCGTATAACGTGAAAGTGAAAAAATTGTAAATTGAAGAAATAGCATAACTTTGAAGTCAAATGGGCAGGCCATGCAGCTTTCCTGAGTATGTAGAGAATCAAAATACAATGACTTGTTAAGATGTGACAAGAGGGAGGGTAAGAAATCAGCATTTTTTTTATTTTTTTATTTTTTTTTTTAGTCTGTCATAGATCTGTGAGTGGGGCAACACGGAAGTAGGAAAAGAACTTTAAAAGGAGTTTCACAAGAATCTCTAAAGTTCCTTTAAAAAAGCTGATGCACTCAGCTGTGGTATGGCAGAACAAAACACAAAATCAGAGGTAGGAAAGAAGAATGACAATTTTTAGTACAAAAAGTTTAAGAAGGTTATATACCAGAATTCAAAGCTAAAAATATGCGTCAATGTATTTTGTAACGAAGGTGGAAAATACAGTGAATGATGTCAAAATGAAACTGTATAAAATGAAGTTTACTGAAAAGAGTTTGCAGGACTAATGTAGCTGTTCCTGAAGATGACAAAAGACATTTGGAGGACTCTAATTAAACTAGAAAATTTGGAGATTCTTGTCAAATCTGCGTGTGTTGGGATAAATAGAAAGGTCGTTTATTTTCTTTTTATAGCAGTTCGTCTGAGTTACTTAAAGCGACAAGAGCTCAATGTCAGGTTTTTACAAAGCTTGCACAACCAGCGGTGTGAATGTAGTTGAAAGTACAGCAGCCTCACCGTTCTACTAGGGCTTTAAGAATAAAGTTTCGGGAGTATTTGACCAGTTCTGCTCTTTTCAGGGGAGAGAAAATGAAATGTACTTGTAGTTTGTAATACTTTACAGAATGATTAGGTTTTGATTTAGCAGAAGTACTTCAAAAGAATGGAGTGCATTTCTTTCTTACGCTAAAAATAAGAAGTACCTGCTGTAGAAAGGGCGTATTGTACGAAACTTGCTGCAGTGGATGTGGGAGCTTTCAAGTCTGACAGTTTAAGTAGTGAAGATGAAAGTGAGGACAGTTCTTGGGCAGGGGACTTCAAGAGGAATGTGATTCATGGGACATAGCTACTAGCATAATTACCAGTGCAGCTGCCATAGTAACTTCTGCCAGTACTAAAAAATGTGTCATGTCCAATGCTCTATTGGTCATAGTGTAAGTGATAAAGATGGGAGCAGCAGAAGTGTGACACCTTGTTCCACTTGCCAACTTCAGACCAGCATACATGGGTGGAGCTATTTCTGCTAGGTTTCAAACTGACACCAAAACTTCACAGGATTTCCTAAAGTGTTTAGGCTGGGCTAAAATTTTGGAGTTGGAGGCGGTAAGATTTTGTTTTGTGTTTTCTGCAAATAATAGTGAAAGGGCAGGGACTCAGAAGGACTGAATTACTCTGATAATGAGTAAGACCTGTTGAATTCAGGCAAGAAAAAAACCCCAACCCTTAAACATAAATACCTTCTATTTTTGCACTCTCATTACACAAGGTTTTATTTCAATAATAAATTCATTTGTTTCAGTATTGTAATAAATAGGACTTTTCTACCTAAAGGTCAGACTTTTCATTTATTAATATTTGTTTCAAATTATGTTGAATGGAACATTTCAGATTTGATCAAAAATGGAATTTGGAGTTAGGAGCTCTTGAAAAATTTGGGGAGACGAGGGATAAGGAATGTTCTGCTAGACCCAGGCTTTCTTTTGATATAAATACTAGTTCAAATGAGAAAAATCTTTTACTGGGAAGTGGGGGACTTCTGAAATACTAACCCCAAAACAATATTTTCTCTCACTAACGTGTCATCAAAACTCACTTTTCTAGCACTCAATAAGTGCAATTTCCACTTAAAATTGTTAAAGTGAATTGCCAAAGGGTCATGCGTCAGTCTAGGGTCAAAGATGGGTCTGGAATTCAGGAACTCTGATTTTTATAGCCAGAGCAGGCTATTTAACTGCCTAGCCCCAACACCTGCATTAGCAGATCATAAAATTTCATCTGTGCAGTAGAAATAATCACTCTGTCCTATTTAAGAGAATACTTAGCTTCCTTCCTAGCTGTTCTGAGTATCAGCAACACATACATACACACACGCAATCTTCCTAATTTCATTCAGTCTTCCTTACCCTCTTCAAAGAATTGCCAGGTTTGCTCTTCTAAACCTCTCATCTGCCTGTTGCTTCACTTTTGTCTTTTCCACCTCCTGTTTCTTAAGCACTTGCCTCTTCCTACAGCTTGTTTGGCATTCTTGAGCAAAGGCTTTTGTGGCTTGATTCAGAAAAGAGATAAAGAGGGAATCAGAAGTTCCAGTATACAAAGTTATCACAAGATTGTTAATTATTTGATGAAAATGTTCTGTAAGCATCCCTGACTGTTGCCCCTGTTGACTGCTGTGGTACAATTCCTACAGACTTAAATTCAGGCACAATATGAGTCCTGCGGTAGTCCTACTATAGGACTGGGCTCTACTATAGAGTGAGACTGCCTACACTCCTCCCAAGCACCTCCTGACTGCAAACAGAGCGATAGTAAGTAGTGTGGTTCTGTAGCTTCCATGTCTGGCATGTATATATATGCACTGGGGCTCAGCCCTAATAAAGTGACCTTTTTTGTGGCAGTTACATTGCATATTTTCTTCGTCATAGATGGCTATCAGTTTATGGAATGAGAGTCACACGGCATTTTTGAAAATGCCATTAAGGATTAAGG